TCCCTCCTTCCCTCCCTCGCTCCCTCCCTCCAGGAATCCAGCGCTGCACCGAAGCCAGAAGAGAGGGAGCAAAACCCAGCCCAGGCCGACAGCCGCGTCCTGAAACCAAACCCGCCCTTCGCGTCGCAAAGGAGATTTTTTTTTTTTTTTAAATCATTATTATTATTATTATTTTTATTTTTAATACCCCTGACCCGAGCACGGTGGCGGCAGCGGCGCCGGGGCAGGGAGGCTGTCCCGGTTATTTATTCTCTCCCCGCAGAGCTGTCCCTCCGGCTCACCATGATGTTCCGAGACCAGGTTGGCGTGCTGGCCGGGTGGTTCAAGGGCTGGAACGAGTGCGAGCAGACTGTTGCGCTGCTCTCCCTGCTCAAACGCGTCAGCCGGACCCAGGCTCGCTTCCTCCAGCTCTGCCTCGAGCATTCCCTGGCAGACTGCACCGAGCTCCACATCCTCGAAGGGGAGGCCAACAACCCCGGTGAGTGCTGGCGTTTGTTGCGACCCTTCTCGGGTGGTGCTCTAATGCCGTCGAAATTTAAAAAAAAAAATAAAAAATAAAAAAAATACACCCAAGAAACGGGTGCGGTTTGGGAGCCGGGGGCTCCCCCAGCTCGGCTTCTCTGCTCACGTTTATTTTCCAAACGGGGTTTGGCTTATTTCAGTTTGGTTTTTTCACAGCAAACTACTCCGCTCCATGGCGTGGTGTAACTACGGTAGCATGAATGATTGGTGGGTCTTTTTTTTTTTTTTTTTTTCCTTTCCCCCCCGTGCCCCCCCTTCCTCCTTCCATGCAGTTTCCTGTGAAATAAGTAAGTCAGGTCACGTAGAGTCTGGATTTTCTAGGCTTCTTTTGGGCAACGTGGCTTGCTTTGCTCTCTGCAACATGCAGAAGCAGCCCATCGCTACCTCAGACGAACTGTTATTGTATAAAGGTCTGGGCAACTGGGTTATCCTATTTTTTTTATTTTTTTTTTTCCTGTTAAATGTGGCAATTCCTATTTCATCATTCAGATCCTGTTTGGACGCATTTTTTTCCTGCGGCTCTGAATACCCCCTTGTGTTTCAGCAGAGCTCTAAGAAAATATGAGTGGACTGTTTCATGTTACTGAGCGTGTGGGGTGCAGGACAGAGAATGTGCGTGGCTACCGAAAAGTGTATTTTTCTTTTATTTATTCACCATTACAAGTTGCTCAACTCCTGCAAAGTAAATGGGAGTTGGAGCAGGATGGGAATGGCACAAGCGCCGTGTGAATTGCACCGTGTGTTCCCGTATTTATTTATGGGGGGTGTGTTACAGATGTGTGTGTGTTCCTAAGTAGGGATGTACACAGGGATGCAAGTTGCTCGGAGTTGTTGTAACACGGAGGGGTCAGTAGGGAAGGCAAAATGTTATTTAGTTGCGCAGTTCTGTTTTATCAACACCTCTCCAAAAAAAAAAAATAAAAAAAAAAAATATCCCAAACCAAAAAAAATCCAGCAACCCATAAAAAGCAAAGCAACCCCCCCATCCCTAAGCAGCAAATCCCAGAGGGCTGGAATCTCTTGGATTTGGGGCTGTGCGTGGCAGAGCAGTGCCAGGGAGCGGCCGGCTGCGTTCCGTGATGGGTGGAAATCTTGCGGCCGGATCCCGAACAGAGCCCCCGGTGTGGACGGGGCGGGAGGAATGCAGGGTCCTTCTCCAGCTGTTCCCTATTAGAGCACCGAGCCGGCAGGATTTGGCAGCTGCCTGTGCTGCCATTTGATGACAAGGTCCAGCGCAGCGCCGTGTTTCCACCGAGGACGGATTTAAGTCCTTCTGCAAAAAACCAAGCCCGGAGCTGCTCCGGCGCAAAGGGATCGGGGCTGGCTGCAGGGGAGCCAGGCTGGAATTGGCCGTTCCCTTATATAGCTCGCAGGAATGAGAGGGAGGAATGCTGCCGAGTGCGTCTGGGTGCAATACTGCTGCTTTTATAAACAGCTGAAGGGATGAACCTCATCCATCCCTTTGGGTGGGGAGGCCCTGGGGTGGGAGGGAACACATTCTCCAAACTCGGCTGCTCCTGGATAAATCTGCAGCTTCCTCACAGGTTTGCTGTGATTCCCCCTGCGAGTTGGTGTGAGCAATATATTTTTAATTTTATTTTTTTTTTCATCAGCATCTCAGCTTTTCATTCCAGCTGTGGGTTTGGCAGTAGCTGTGTCCTCTTGGTTGGCCAGGGAATTGGAGGGGGGTGATTTTCCTCCAGCCATCAGGAAAGGTGAAGGAAAACTGGGCTCTGGAGTGGTCCTGGGCACAGAGTCACGTAGGGCCACCTGTGTGGTGGCATTTTCTTGGTGTAAGCCTGGGTGCAGACCAGAGGTTGGGTCTTCCTGTCTCCACTCATGCGAGCAATCCCTGCTTGCCCCTGTAATCCCGTTGACCTTGCTTGGCGCGAGGATTTCTCCTGCGTGCAGAGCTTGGCACCCAGCCTCCTGCCTGGCCCTTGCTGCGTTGGTGGAGCTGCCTGAGCTCTCCCTGGCGTGCCTTCCAAAAATGATCTCTTCCTCCAGGGCATTTGTAACTCCAATGCCAAAACCTGGATCCGTTGAGTTCCTTTTTCTCACCAAGCATCCCTCTGTATGGCTTTCCCACGGGATGGACACATCCTTGCCTCCTGCAGAGCAGGACACGCACTCTTCCAGGCAGTCCTGTTGCAGTGCAGGGAAGGTTCGCTGAGACTTGTAACCAGGCTCAGGCAATAGTTTTTAGTCTCCTGTGTTAGTGCTGCCTTCCTAAAACCACCTGTATTCCTGAAATCACTCCTGTTCCACTCCTGTTCTGGTGTTTGCTGTCTTGGAAGTAGTGGCTCCCTGCTTGTAGGAGCCCTGCTGGTATCTCTGGTGGGGGCTGTAAGGCAGGGGATGTTCCCTTTCCATGAAATCTGCTGTCTGGGAAGGGGTGTCACCAGCTGAATGTAACATGCTGGGCTAATGTACTGGAGCAGGTGTTGGAATTACACTGGGTCCTCGTGAGAATTCTGTTATTTTGTACATGCAGGACCTGTTGCTTGCCCCAACTCTGTGGAGAGGTGGGGAAAATGGAATGCCCCTAGATGATGGTTCTTAGGAGGAGGTGGCAGCTCTGCTGTGGTCCATGGTGGATAGGCACCATCCTTGGAAATACCACTACCACCAGAGATCAGGAGGGGTCCTAAAGGGAGACCAGAGCTCAGAGATTCTCTCTGACTGGTGGTGCTGGGTTCAGAGGCTTTCAGGTGTGTAGACCAGGCTGAAAACCCATTTCAGCAAAGGTGTCCAGGCTGTTTCTTGCTGGGTAGACTCAAGGTGAGAGGTCTGATGAATGGCAGACCTGGTTGGAAAACTCAAGGAAGAAAAGTAACTCTTTTAAACTAGTTAATTGCCACAGAGTAGCAAGTGTATTTAGTTCAAAAGAGTTCTGTCTTGTTTTTTTTCCAAGTGTGAGAGTATTTTCATAATGACAGCCAAGCTGTCCTCATCAGTACTGCAAACCCAGCGTGGCTCTGCTGTGTACAGCTGTGTATGACCCTCAGAAACCCTCCTGATTCCATGTTTCTTTGGATCCCTGCCTAAGCCTGGGAGGGTGGATGTAACCTGTTGCCAACCTCAGATGTCCTGCAGGAAGCTGCACTGGTGTCTGGAAGTGCAGGGAGGTGTGGAGGCTGCTGAGGTGGCTGCAGGACCACCTGAAATCCATTGCTTGGTTATAAAGGGAAAATAGGAATGGGAAGCAAACATGGAAAGACATCTATACATTCTTCATTATGTGAAACGTGCAGTTTGGGACTGTCCTGCACAGTGGCTTCACTGAGCTTTAATGGTTTAAACTGGTGAAGGGTTTGGGTTAATTCAATTTTAGTGTGAATGGCTTGGTCTGCTGAGAAGGAAGAGAATATGGAAACTATATTATCCATGCACAGAAATAGAAGTTTCAGGTATTACATAGCACTATTTAAAAGCCTGCTATAACTTCCTTCCTTCCTTCCAGCCTGGCCTTGCTGGGCAGCTTCAGTCCCAGCTGCTCGGAGCCGTCAGGACACGGCGACCTCCTCTGAGCTACCAGTAAAGGTCAGGCAGGAGTGGGGTGAGCCTTGTGGTGGGAACTGGGACCTGTGCTGCTCCTGGGGCACCCAGGGGTGCTGGGCATGGCTGCTCTGAGGACTGCACACCCAGTGAGGAGAGGTGGGGGCTGTATCCATGAACTATGGTCCATAGGCTTTGGGCAATGAGCACAGAATGTGTTTCTGCTTTCATCTACTCCAGCATCCCTCTGCGGTTTCTTCCCAAAGCAGTCCCACATCCCATCCCACCATCCTCATTCCTGCAAGGTTGACAGAAGTGCCCAAAGACTCCTGTAGGTCCTCCAGGTGTCCAAACACCCACGTGCACTGATGGAAGCAGTGACAGCTTTAAGCTCATAAAGGACAGCAAGCTTTCTCTGGCCTGTGCACAGGACATTAACTGCTCCATATGGTAGGGCCAAAATCTTTATTTCATTTCAGCAGGCTGTCAGGTATCACAAGGGGAGCATCAGGATGGCCTAGATTCCTCATCCTGGGAAGGACTGGCCAAAGGAAGAGACAAGGGTTGCAGGGAGCCGTAATGTCTTTTAATAGACCAAGTGATGCAGCTGGAAAAAATGGCCAGGCATGAAGGTGCACCAGCTCAAAGGAGGGCTTGTGTGGGGTGGTTTTTTCCCAACTGTACCAGCTGGTCTATTAAAAGGCATTACATATTCTTGCAGACCTTGCTGCTTATATCCTTAGCTCCCTGTGGCTCCAGCCCTGCATCTATTGCTGCCACCCCAGCCACAGACAGTCTCCCAGCCCATCAGGAAGCTGTTACCCCTGCACTGTGCAAATTTTGTAGTTCATTCCCAGTGACCCCCACTGAAGGCAAATCATCCCAGTGCCAAATTTGAAGGTGTTTCTCATTTTTAAATTTTTTTTCTTGGCTTACAGTTGCACTGCAATGCTGAGCTCTGGTTTAAATGTCCTTGGTCTGTGTGAGAGCATGGCTGGGCTGTCACACAGTGGGACTGGAGGAGGCCAGGAGGCATCCCAGGAGGAGGATGGGGTCAGGGGCTTAGCCTGTGCCTATTGGAAGTGATAGAGAATTCTAAGTGCGGGGCACTCACACATCATCATTGTGTGGTCATTCCACACACTCGTCTCTGCCTGGAGAGGGATGTGAGCAGCCCTGCCAGCTCTGCTCATTAAAAATTACGAGCTGGGACTCCTAAATGGAGAGATCACAGAAGGGTTGGAAGGGACCTGAAAGACCATCTTGTTCAAACCCCTCAGACAGGGGCAGCTTCCACCAGGAGCACCAGGCTGCTCAGAGTTCCATCCAACCTGGCCTTGAACACTTCCAGGGATGGGACAGTCCTAACTTCTCTGTGTGACCTGGGCAAACATCAGATCTGCTGAGCTGTTGGACACCTGCATTTAACCTGCTGGTACTTGACCTGCTGCCACACAT